GTGGCTTACCGGCATCTTCACATGCTGCTTGTCCTGGCTGCGGCTGGCAGTGACTCCTTCTGCCTTCCTGTTCTTTCTTTTCTCCTCTCTGTTAGTCCCGCCTATACTTCCTGCCTGGCCACTGGCCAATCAGTGTTTTATTTATTGACCACTCAGAGCAACACATTTGCCATACAGAACATCCCACAGCAACTGAGTTGGTGCTAGACTGCACCTGGGTCCTCTGTAAAAGCAGTAAGTGCTCTTTCTTACCCAGTAAGCCACCTTTCCAAACCCCACTCTTCTTACCGCCTGCTGGCTCACCTGGGGATAAATTTCTGCCCCTCTGCCCAGCCTGGCACTGCAATCACACCAGCAGTTTCTACCCCCAAACTGTCTCCTGCCTTGACTCCCCTTTGGGGATTAACTTAGAGCTGCTCCCTGGTTGCCTGTGAAGACTCAGATAATTGGAAATGTGATTTTGATCCAACTCCAAAAGCTAATGATGCACAGCCATGACCCTCTGAACATGGGCCTAGGAATCAGTAGTGGTGGATACCACAAAACAAACAAAAACAAACAAACAAACAAACAAAAAACCCAGGTTTTTAAAAAATAACTTACTGAGCCAGGTGGTGGCACACACCTTTAATGCCAGCACTCAGGAGGCAGAGGCAGGCGGATCTCTGTGAGTTCAAGGCTAGCCTGGTCTACAGAGTGAGATCCAGGATAGGCACCAAAACTACACAGAGAAACCCTGTCTCAAAAACAAACAAACAAACAAATAAATAAATAACATCTATTTTGGTAACTCTCATTTCAATCTTAAAGGAAGTCTTTTTTTTTTTTTTCAGATTTATTTGTTTATGTATTTATTTATTATGTATACAGTGTTCTGCCTGCAGGCCAGAAGGGGGCACCAGATCTCATTAGGGATGGTCGTGAGCCACCATGTGGTTGCTGGGGATTGAACTCAGGACCTCCGGAAGAGCAGCCAGTACCCTTGACTGATGAGCCGTCTCTCCAGCCCCTTAAAGGCAGTCTGATTGCAGAAGAGACTCCCTGGGGTGCCAGAGAGATGGCTCAAAGGTAAAGAGTGCTTCCTGGTCTTCAGAGGCTCCAAGTTCAGTTCCCAGCACCTAGAACAGCTCACAACTGCCTGTAACTCCAGGTCCAGAGAACTCAACATTCTCTTCTGGTTTCTGTGGGTACCTGCATTCACCTGTACACTGCCCCCAACCACCAAGGCCGCATGCACATACACATAATTAAAATGTAAAATAAAGTCTTTAAATAACATGAAAATACTCCCTAGGACTAGGTTTTTATTATTCCACATTTATTTCATTTGTTCTAATTGTAAGCTAAGTATCACATTAGGCATGGTATGAATAAGATATCTCTGGGGTGAATTGTGAAAGTTGACTTCTCTATAACTGTTCATAATTGTTTCTCTTCTCTTTTGTTTGATCACAGTCTGACTTCACCCAGTCCAATCCACAGTGCAAAGAGTGAATCCATTATAACCCAGTCAGAGGAAAAGGCTGATTTTGTGATTATTCCCTCTGAAGGAATAGAGAACAGAACAGGTACCACCTGCCCACCTGCTTGGGTTGCTTCAAGGGAAGGGTTTTAGCCTGAAGACTTCAGAGGGTTTGATTATCTTCTTTAAGCTTCTGGACTGTGTCTGTCTTTACCGTCTATGCATGCAGGGTCAGGGTCAGCTCGAGAGGGCTCTAATGCCTTTGAGTCAATTAATGTAGTTATCCCTGTACATAATGCCCTTTCTGGTACTGAGCTGTCAAAAAAGCTCACAGCAGCCCTCCCTTAGCTGACTGCCTATGAATTAGGAAATGACATTGAGGCAGTCAGAAGCCTTATTCGGGTAAATAATTTTTATAATTCCCATTTTGTGAAGATAATTTTAGTTCTTCACTGGCTTAGGTTGGAGCCAGGAAGACATAGTTTGAACCAAAATGCCCATGAGAACAGGCAACAAAGAACAGGTCTTGGTATGAGGGCTATAGAAAGGACCACAGAATTCTCTTTGTTTAAACTTTTGAGTCTGTCTTGTTTATCTTCTTTTTTTTTTCTCCCCCTACTTAATCATAAAAAAAGAAACATGGGAAAGACAAAGTACAAGTGTTAGGTTGAAGTCCACCCATGCATAAGGGTTGCGATAAAACTGAACCCCACTAAAGAAAATCTGAAACCGGATCCTTCTTTCCTCTGCTTCCCGTCAAGAATTTGTACGAGTCGGTCAGAACCTGGGTGTGGTGGTGCACATCTGTAACCTCAGCTCCCAGGAGAGTGGTGGTGCACATCTGTAACCTCAGCACTCAGGAGATGGTTGATCACAAATTCAGGGCCAACTAGATTACCTATTGAATTCCAGGCCAGCCTGGGCTACACAGTGAGACATGTCTCAAAACCCAAAACACAAAAGAGTCACCTGTGGAGCCAGAATCTCTTCAGGCTGTGGAGAGGGAGGAGGAGTATTTACTGAGCACTTTCGCCATCAGATACTACTGGGTCCTTCATGTTTTACCTGTCTTAATCTTTGCCACGACTCCCATGATTTACTATGCACTTCTTAGAAGTAAAGAAGCTTGCCCAGAGAGTCCACAGCCATCTGTATTCCGTAGTGCACATGACATGATGATGCATGTAATTACTATAAAGCAGACAAGGACACCAGAGCAAAGAGGTCTTAAAGACAAGGAAATAAACCAGGGAGTAATATTGAAGTTTTGTGAGTTCACTTTACTAATTTTATTTCAGGATGACTCACAGGATGTTATGTGAAAAGGGTTCAGTTATGGCTCAAAGGGGTGAAAGGAATTGGTTTGTCTTAGTTTGGGTTTCTATGGCTGCGGTAAAAACAAAACACCACTACCAAAAGCGACCTGGGGAGGAAAGGGTTGATTTGGCTTAGAAGTTGCAGTCCACTAGGAGGGGAAGCCAAGGCAGGAGCGCAGGGTGGGAACCTGGAGGCAGGAACTGAAGCAGATACCGTGGAGGCACGTAGCCTGCTTACTGGCATGCTCAGGTTGATCCTTACACATCCCAGGACCAGCTGCCCAGGCATGGCCCCACCCACAGTGGCCTGGGCCCTCTCACACCAATCATTAATTAGAAGACGCCCTACAGATTGGCCTGCAGGCAGCCTGATAGAGGTGTTTTCTCATCTGTGGTTCCTCTTCCCAGCTACATCTAGGTTTGTGTCAAGTTAGCAGACACCGGCCAGCACAGGGTTGGTTGACCCAGTCTCCTGTCCAAAGTTCCAGAGTCACCAAAAGGGATTTTACTTTCATCTGTGACTGACGGTTCCTTTACTTATAAATCAGACTCTGGGAATGTCAGTTCCAAGGAGCTGGGAGTACGATCTTTGTGTGCCATAACGAGTGTGCAGGGGCAGGTGCCCTGCTGCTCCCCAGGGTAAGGCTTAAAAGGGCGGACTCTACGAACAGAGCCTGTGCTTTCCCGAGCCTGGTACCCCAGTGAACAGCCAGGTCTTTGTGTCTCACAACCCCACCTAGTGGACAGTCCTGTTGGTCTGTGCAGACAGGTTCAGAAGGCAGGTGACCTGAACCTGTGAAGTACTCTGAGCCCCGGCTGCCGGAAATCGCCTCTCTTCAACATGGACTGTCCTCCCACCTTTCATTTCGCAGACGAGACAGGCTCTCCATTATCCCGAGACTGGAGGCCTGGCAGCCCGGGAACGTACCTGGAAGCCACATGGGAAGAGCAGCTACTGGAGCAACAGGAACACTTAGAAAAAGAAATGGAGGAAGCGAAGAAAATGATTTCAGGACTCCAGGTAACCAACCCTTCTGCAGTGTGTTCTTGGTGCCCCAGCTAATTATTCCTTTTAAGTCGGTAGTATCAATTGGCAAAGGAAAAACAACAACAACAAAACACCTGATTTTATTGTGTGTGAGTAGTGCACAGAGAGCGAAAATTCCTTATTTGTGAGTGTTTGAAGTGGACTTTGGAACTCTGGTTTGCAGTCCAGCTGTTAGGATTTGTGCAAGCTCGGGAGCCCCGACTGACCCTGTTTTGTAGGTAGGTGTCTTCTCGACTCCACAGACCTGCAACTGCAGCTTACAGCAAAGCCTGCCTCTCAGGAACTCAGCAGCAGAGATTTCAAGAGGCACGAATACCAGCAGGTTTCCATTTGAGTCTAGCGAGGGACCTGGCTCCCTCCTAACATCAGCAGCTGCTGCCCAGGCAAGCGGTCTGCTAGCAGAGGTTCCCTTGAACAGCAAAGCCCTTCAGTTGTTCCTACACCTGCGCTATCACCCGGGGGAATCTCCCCCAGAGACTGACTGACCCACTTGACATAGAGCCCACCCCGTGACCCCCTCGATCCTGTTTGGAGGAGTCCTCGTAGTGTGCTGATTGACCCTGAAACTGCCTAGGAATATTCCATTCTGTTGGTGCTGGGAACCGCACCAGTTTTGAATTGTGAAATATTTATGGACACATAAACAAAGCCCACATTATGTGTGAGGCTCTGGCAGGCGGTGGAGGGCGTGCTCCCAGCCAGCCCGCAACAGGGTGGGGACACAAAAGGTTCCCAAAGAGAAAAGGGGATTGGTGCTTTGGTAAAACAATTTGCATAATGTGTGCCCTAGGAACCTACACCGATTCGAGGAATGTTTACATCCTCCTAAACATTCCCCAAGCAATTGGTGGTGTCTGCTTCTTGCTCTGTATTAAAATAATTTTTTAAAAAAATCTGTTGGATTCCTTTCTGCTACTCAGTAAGGAATATCTTAATGGTTTGTTGTTCTTTTAATAGGAAGTGTTCTATGCATTTGGGGGTTTTTACCTAACCAGGTTCTCCCCACACACATCCCAGGGACAATTTGTGTTATGTGAACAAAGCATGGGTAGCTATCAGTTTGGCTCTGTTTGATTTGTATTCCTTAGTTTGGGAGAAATTCAATGACCAATGAAACAGAAAAATAAAAAAGAAAGAAAGCTGACAGGCAGAAAAACAACATCCTAATATTTCCTTTGAACAGAGGTGTTTTAATTCGCTGTCACGTGATGACAATTAGGAGGCTGTCTCACTGAAGAGCACAAAAGGGTTCCCAGCATCCACTGGACTTCTTAACTCTTTCAGTGATGAACAAGTTGTATGCCAAGTCACATCCAGGATTTGTGACTTATTAGTATGCCATAATTAGAGACCATTGAAGAGTCTGCCCTTGGGGTTACTATTTCTGAGATGTCCCCATGTCTGAGGTCCCCACTTCTGCAGTTCCCTGCAGCCCTGGGGCTGTGTGCCTGCCCACACACCCCTCTTACCATGACCCCATGGGAAAACCAAGTTCATTTGATTTTCTCAAACATTATTATTAGTGTTTAGTAGAGGAATGGTTGGCTGGATTCTAAACATTCATCATCATCATGAATTTGTGTTATATTTACTAAAAGACGTTTTATTTAAACTCTGATTCTGTCTTTCGAGTTGAAACAAAACTGTGACAAATAAGGGCAGAATCTCCATCTTTAACTCACCTGATACATCTCATAACACCTACCCGAGCAGGCAGATCTCCAAATTTGGGGGCCCTAAAGTATACTGGATGCTGCTTTAAGCATAGGATTCTGGGCTGGTGAGATGGCTGGGCAGGCAGAGGCACGGGCTGCCAAGTCTGAGGATCTGAGTTCGATCCCTGGGACCCCCACATAGTGAGAGGGGAGAACTAATGCCTGAAAGTTGTCCTCTGACTTCCCCATGTGTCCCATGACTCACACACCCACACCCACACATACACACAAATATGCACACCACAAAGATGGCTCAGCTGTTCAGAGCATGTTTTCAGAGCATGTTCTGCTTTTACGGAAGGCTTGAGTCCATGTCCCAACACACCAGTGAGACAAGAACTGTAACTCCATATCTAGGCTATCCAACACCCTCTTCTGGTCTCCATGGACACTGAACTCATGTGCACAAACCCATACCGAGACATTAAAAATAAATTTTGTCAGAGTGAGGTGTTGCATGGAGGCAGAGGCAGATCTTTCTGAGTTTGAGGCCCGCCTGGGCTTCATAGTGAATTACAGATCAGCCAGGGCTGCATAGTAAGATCCTATCTCAATCAATCAATAAATAAATAATAAAAATAAATTTCAAAATAAGTAAAATGTAAAAGGAAAGGAATGAGATTACAAACTATAAATACCATGTTAGGTGTGGGTTCTGGGGAGAGGCAGCGTCCTAGGGCCCCAAAGCCGGAGCTTCCAGAGCTTCAGGGTGTATCTGCCTCCTTTGTCCTCACTAATACACTAATGAAAAACAGCCTGGAGTTGAAATGAACGAGGCCATCTCTGTAAAGATTTTTCTTTCTTCTATTCATGTTGCCTTAGGGGGTGAAAATGCAGAATTACTAAAACAAACAAACAAAGAGCAAACAGTCCCAAGGCCGCGGTTTTTCAGTGGATTTCAAACAGTTTATTGTAATGCACATCTCTGAGCTAGGATGATTCCACACTGATTTTAGATCCCCTTTCAGCTGGCAGAGCTGTGTTTGAACAACTCTAGTTTGAAATGTGTTTGGACACTTCTGAAGGGAAGGTTTGTTAGTAATTCTCAGAGCAGAGGGTCCGTGTGTATCCAGAAATACGAAAATGATCCATGGGATTTGGAGTGTAGCTCAGTTGGTACAGTGCCTTTGTAGTTTGCATGGGGTTCTAGGTCTGACCTTTATCGAGTTGTAAACTAGGCATGGTGGTACATGTTTAAAATCCCAGCATGTGAGAGGTAGAGACAGGAGGATCAGATGTTCAAAGCCACCCTCTGCTGTTTAAAGCCAGCCTGGGATACATGAGACTCTGTTTGAAATTGGGGGAAGGGACCTATAACAAGGACCTCTAGAAGGAGCTGTGCACAGTCAGGACCATTGGAAATGACCAGAGGTTATCATCTGGCTTCCTTCAGGAATCAGTTATCTGGTGATTTCCATTTGTGGTGAACTTACCAAACCTTGCTCTGGACTGAATCAGGTGTCAGGGGGTTCAGTTTCTTCCTCCCTTTGTGGTTTATCCAGGCCTTACTACTCAATGGATCCTTACCTGAAGATGAACAGGAAAGACCCTTGGCCCTCTGTGAACCAGGAGTCAATCCCGAGGAACAGCTGGTGAGCTCCATGTTTGTGGCTCCATACTAGGCCTGGCTTGTTTCCACACTTGACCACACCTGTTTGAAATACTCCCTCCTGATTCATGGAGTTTGTCTATGATTTGGTTACTCCTTCCTGGTGTCTTCATTGATTTAATCAACAGATGTCCAGCAAATGCTGACTCTTTGAGGCAGACACTGGTCCAAGGTGCTAGAGATGCAATATTGACCAAAGATACTTAAGACCCTACTCCCCTGCAGCTTACGGTCTCGCCCCCCCCCCCCAAGCCTTTCTTTTCTCTATGGAACGATGCGCACGCATCTCAGCACCTTGGACCAGTCTTATAGTCACTGGGCAGTGTCATCTGCCTTCCGGGTCTTCACTCACTCCCCATGTGCTTCTCACAGACAGATTTCCAACTCAGATCTCTCTGCAGAGTTGTTGAGTTGTGCGTGCACACACAGCCGCTTGCTCATAGTCTCCATTAGTGGATGCTAGACGCACCTCAGTTTCAGTGGGTCCTCCACGAAGTATTTCTTTCCTCTATGTAACCACAGAGTCAGTTTGTCCTTCTGTATGTGTGCCCCAAACGGAAACCCGGATAGCATCCTCGAATTCCTTCTGATCTTCCCCTCATGGCCAGTGTCTCCATTTTCACAACCACTACTTAGTGTGGCCCTTTAGCCAGCATCCTAGCAACCTCCCAGCAGGTTTTGCTGAATCTAGAGTCTTCTTCTAACCTCTTCTTCATTTTCAATAACATTACAAGAATAATTTAAGGATAATTTTATTTTGTCTTCCGTTTGTATAAAATTTTTCACCGATGGGGCTGGAGAGAGAGGGCTCAGTGGTTAAGAGTACTTAACCTGAGTTTAGCTCCCAGCACCCATGTCAGGTGGGTCCCTGCAATTCTAGAGGATTTTTTTTTTACCTCTAGCCTCCCAGGCTACTGCACTCACATGCACATACGCCTAGGCAGACACACACAGCTGCACATAATTAAAAAGAATAAAAATAAATACTTTAAAAAATTATATTAATTCCAGCCGGGCGGTGGTGGCGCACGCCTTTAATCCCAGCACTCAGGAGGCAGAGCCAGGCGGATCTCTGTGAGTTCGAGGCCAGCCTGGGCTACCAAGTGAGTTCCAGGAAAGGCACAAAGCTACACAGAGAAACCCTGTCTCAAAAAACAAAAAAAAAACAAAACAAAACAAAAAAAATTATATTAATTCCCCCATTGGCCTCATTGGCCCTTCATGGTCTAGCTCCCATTTCCCTTTTCAGCTTCGTCTCTTCTTCCCTGACTCCTTCTCCTCCTCCCAGGACACACACACTTACCCTAGACTTCATCCATATTGTTTTATGTCATGCGTTTTGGCATATGCTTATATCAGAGGGCATGTGTTCACAGTACGGAAGTGGTTTCTAGTAGGTGCTCAATGAGTGTTTGTTGAATGAATGAATGGTCTAGGAACTTAACAGTACAAGTGCATGGCCATCTATCTCTGTCTTACATTCAGATTATAATCCGAAGCCGTCTGGATCAGAGTATGGAGGAGAATCAAGACCTCAAGGTAGGACAGGACATGTACATTTTCCCCCTTTGAAAAGAATTGTGGGAATATCACGGGGCAGCTTTGGGAAAATTCTGGGAAGGGAAAGTGATGCAGTGCCAGGGAGCTAGCTGGATCTTACCTGGGTTAGGTCTTTCCTTGAAGGAGAGAGGCACATCTAAACAATCTCACAATGGAGGCACCTTTTTAATCTTAATGCTCTATAGTAGTTTTCTGTATTATTTTGGGGGTACCTTTCTGTAGTTTGAAATATTTCTATATTTCTTTTTCTCTTTTGGTGTTTTGGGACAGGGTTTCTCTGTGTAGCGTGTAGTTTTGGAGCCTGTCTTGGAACTTGCTCTGTAGACCAGGCTGGGCTCGAACTCACCTGCCTCTGCCTCCTGAGTGCTGGGATTAAAGGCGTGCGCCACCACGCCTGGCTTTATATTTCTTTTTGATTTGAGAGAAGAAGATGAGTCTGGACTGGGCATGGTGGTACATAAATTAGAGTCTAGCCTGATCTACATGCTGAGTTCCAGGCCAACCAGAACTACATAGTCAGAACCTACCTCAAGAGAAGGAGAGGGTGTGTACTATTAGTGTATTCCATTTTCCAGAGTTCTTTTAGGTCAGTACTGTTGTTGTTGTTGTTGTTGTTGTTTTGGGGGTTGTCTGATTGTTTTAATTTTGAGTCAGCGTTGGGGCTGTAGATCAGTGGTGGAGTGCTTGCCTAAGTATGGGCAAGGTGCTGTTTCAACTCTGATACCACAATAAAATAAAAAACAAGAGAACTGAGTCCTAGGTATCTAACTAGGGCATATAGGTCAGTGGTAGAGTATTATGACTGAGCATATCTCCCCAGAAATATGCCACACACAGACCTGCATTTTTGATAACTTTTGAGCCCACCTGTTGGAGCCAGGTTAGAACCCAATTTTAGATATGCTAATTATGAATCATTCCTGACATAATAGCTAGAGACGGGCCCCGGTCACGTAACAGGCACTGCTCTCCTCAAATCCCTCTTTTTAGTTGCAGTCATACATATGGAGATTTCATTACTCAATTTTCTATTATAAAACCAAATTCGGGTTTTTGTTTGGACCACAAAGAACAATAGCCCCAGTCCACAAAGAACAAGAGCTCTTTGGAGAATCAGAAGCATGCCAACCCTTTGTCGAAGTTAAATGAAATCGAAATAACTATCCAACAACAGCAGACATGGGCATATCACGCATTTAGGGGACATTTAGATGATGTGGTCAGGTTTTCCTGTTGGTGGAGAGCCTTTGGGGCTGGGTGGGGTGTCTTCTTTCTCAGTACAAGTCTTCTCTACCTGGTCAGCTCAGCAATGGGTGCCACAGAGGACAGAGGGGTCTTGTTCCCGAGGGTCAGTCTTGACTGCTTTCAGGGACTCCATCTGCTCTGTACCTCGGCTGATGGGTTAATCTTCATGGAATGGCCAACCGGGTTTTGTCTTCCTGCTGACAGAATGAGGTAATGCTTATGAAGCAACTCAGATGCCACCATCTGATCTCACTGTATTTGGTTTATAGAAAGAGCTGCTGAAATGCAAACAGGACGCCAGAAACTTGCAGGGGATAAAGGTAAAAGGAAGACATTCAATTCTCTCTCTCTTTTTTTTTTTTTTTTTTTTTTTTTTTTTTTTTGGTTTTTCGAGACAGGGTTTCTCTGTGTAGCTTTGTGCCTTTCCTGGAACTCACTTGGTAGCCCAGGCTGGCCTCGAACTCACAAAGATCCACCTGCCTCTGCCTCCCGAGTGCTGGGATTAAAGGCGTGCGCCACCACCGCCCGGCCTCTCTCTCTTTTATTTTATGTTTCGTAAGCCTCTGTGAGGTAGAGTGATCTATTAGTGAGTGTTGAGAGCCAGGTACTCGGGTCGGGGACTGTTGGGATTTCCCAGGAGTCTTTAACAGACTTGGTGCCAGGAGTCTAGAGAGGGCTTTGCGGTGGGTAGAGACATGCTGAGGAAGACATCTTTGTTTTGCTGAGGCTTGTGTCTCGGAGTTGTGACTCATGGGGCTGTCGTGTGCCTCTCTGCCACCTTGATTTTCTCTGTGTGAAAGCACTCTCTCAGTTCAAAAGGATGCCCTTTTTAGGAAAAAAAACGAAAAAGGAGCAATGTTGGAATGGTTAATAACATTCAAACAGTTTAAAGACACAAAAGGCTAGACGGTGAAAGTTCTCCCACCAGCTCTGCCCTACCCCACCCCTCCCCACCCCACCCCACTGCCACCTCAACCAATTTTGTCCCCTGGAGACGACCTATCAGTTATCCAATATGTCTGTTTGTTGTTTTCTCCCACTTTTCAACCCAAATGATAGTGCATGGCAAACACAGCTTGGCCCTATGTTTCTTCCACTTAGCAGCGTGTGAAATTTGGGAGATTGTTCTACTTTAGGAAAGACCATTTTAGGTCTTCTTTATACTTGCACATTGCTCTTCTTTTTAATTTTTATCATTTATGTGTATGGCTGTTTTGCCTGCATGTATGTTTGCACCACTTGCATGCCTGGTAACCGAGGAGCCCAGAAGAGGGTGTTGGATCCCCTGGAACTGGAGATACAAGTGGTTGTGAGCCTCCATATAGTGCTGGGAATTGAACTCAGATCCTTTGGAAGAGCAACCAGTGTGCTTAACAACTAAGCCATCTCTAATAATCTTGTGATATTTTAGACTAACTACTTTGGCAGAGCTATTTTGCTTGTATATACAATGCTTGAGCTAATAACCTTGAATGTATGTTATTTACCCAAATGGGATTATAACATCTGAGTATTCATCTAAAGCTCCTACTGTTCCCCTGTCTGCACAAACTTTCATTAACTAGCCAAGATTAACTCAGTAGCATTTTCCAAAGCACATTCAGTAACCTCAGTGCTTTGAAGTATTTCAAAACAGAAATGTTCCTTTTGGTTAAATAAAGTTTGAGAAATTCCTGATAGGCTTGAAGATTCATTGTGAATAATATCACATTGAAGGATCTCGGAAGGTAAATCATAAAGAAACTGGCTTGGGGATGGAAAGATTGCTCATTGGTTAAGAGAGTTCTCACCCTTATAGAGGAGCTGACCTCCATTGACAGACAGACACACAGACACACACATGTGCATACTCTGCAAATAAAAATAAAAGCGTTGAAAACTCAAGATATAGCCCCCAAAACTTTTAGAATAGCTGGCCACAGAAGCTCCTCTTCCCCTAACTCATTCTCTAACATCTATCCTGGGGAGTGCACTTTGGAAATGTGCTAGGCTACAAATGCCAGGGACAGCTTGCCCTCTGCCATGTATTGACCTGTGCGCTGGATAATTAAAAAGGGGTTCTCTACTGGGCCTGGTACATACTTGTGATCCTACCATTTTTGAAGGTTGAGGTAAGAGAACCATGAATTCAAGGCCAGACTACTACCTAGAGCAGTGGTTCTCAACCTGTGGGTCGTGACCACTTTGGGGACAAATGACCCTTTCACAGGAGTTGCCTAAGCCCGTCAGAAATATCAGATGTTTACATCATGATTCATAACAGCAGCAAAATTAAGGTTATGATATAGCAATGAAAACAATTTTCTGGTTGGAAGTCACCATAACATGAGGAAGTATATTAAGGGGTCGCAGCCCTAGCAAGGTTGAGAACCACTGCTCTCGGAAATGGGGACTGGACAGAGAGGAGAGGGCGCTAAGTCGGGTGGAGTATTATATACCCAAGAAGTAGACGAGAAAATCCAGGAGAGAGGAGGATCACACTGTTCAAGGTCAGTGTCCTCCAAGTAGGACGTGATGGACGTTTAATGTGGATCTAGGTCTGTCTGATCTCAAAAGCTAACCCCTGCCCTTGCCTGACTAGGACACCAGGATCCCAGGGATGAGCTGTAGGTGATGGAAAACCAGGTTTCTCTCAGTAGGACAGGGGATGGGATTTCCCTGTAGATGATGGTGTCTTGGACGAGGAGAGGAAAATCTCTACCCAGGTCCTTGTGGCAAGGTCCTTGTTATTCCTTTCATCCCCTAGTTTGACAGAACTGATGCTCAATGCACAGTGAGGAGCTTAGTAAGAAGTGCTCTCTGGCTGGGTGATGGATTAAGGCTGCAAAGTGGGTGTCCTTATTCCCCCAGGATGCCCTGCAACAGCGGTTGACTCAGCAGGACACATCTGTTCTTCAGCTCAAGCAAGAGCTTCTGAGGGCAAATATGGACAAGGATGAGCTGCACAACCAGAATGTGAGTTAAGTGTGTGGCCAATGACCTCAGAGAGCCCATTAGTCACCTAGGATGCTATGTGAAGCACTGTTCAGTCTGTCCTTGTAGTCTCTTTATTTTGCTCCTGGGTGCCTCCCTTCCATGTCTATAGTTATTTTTATTCCCGTAAGACTAATTTCTGGTCTTAGGTCACAGCACCTAGGTCTACAGCACCCTGGATGGTCCTTGACTCAGCTTGGGGAACACTAAGGCCAAATTGTGTTTCCACAGTCTGCTTAAAAGACATGGCGAGCTGGTGTGTGTTTCTGTCCCAGCCCTCCCTCTCTGTGCCGTATACCGTAACTGTTGTTAATTCTTGTTACCAAGTGGCTGGTTTCCCTAAGGGCTGGCAGACGATACCTTCATGCCACTGAATTCTTTCTTCCCTTCGCAGGTGGATCTGCAGAGGAAGCTAGACGAGAGGAACCGGCTCTTGGGAGAATATAAAGTAAGAAACGCCCTCCCAGCAGCCTTTTGTGAATAGCCCGTGTTAGCTGATGCTCAAAGAGCACGTCCGTATTCAGCTCTGTCTTGGCTCTCTGGTAGGAAATCTTTCCATTAGCTCTGGAGCACAGACAGCATAACTCTGGAAAGGAGGTTAGCACAGGAACATGGGAACAGTCGGTGGCAGGCTCGCCTCTATCTCAGAAGAGAGAATGGCCCGTAGTCCCCCGTACAGGCAGTTTGCTTCCTTTTTGCCTTTCTAAGAATCCTGGCACCACATAAAACTGTTAGAGTGCGGAAAGCCTTCCAGGTACAGAGTGAAGAAAGCCTGTGTGCCTGAGGCTCTTCTTCTCACAGGGTAGGTCTCACGGAGTGTGAACCACTTGATGGCCTTGTGTTTGCCACACCTCTGACAGCTTATCTCCGTTGCAGAAAGAGCTCGGGCAGAAGGACCGCCTCCTTCAGCAGCAGCAGGCCAAGTTGGAAGAAGCACTGCGCAAACTCTCGGATGCCAGTTACCAGCAGGTCCGGACGCAGCAGCCACTGGCCTGCCTGGCCCCCTGGCCGGAAAAAACACTTTCCTGATTTGCTCTGTTTTCCAGGTGGATCTGGAACGGGAGCTGGAGCACAAAGATGTCCTTCTGGCTCACTGCATGAAAAGAGAGGCGGATGAGGTGACCCAGAACTTGGGTTTTCCTTCTTGTGTTTGTTAGAATTCTGTCTGGTGAGGGCGTTGAGTGCGGGTTCCAGGGCCTGGGTGTGTAGCTCAGTGGTGGGGCACTTGCCTGATGTGCTCAAGATTCCAGGGTCACTCTCCAGCACCGAGGGGACAGGTGGAGGTGGTATTCAGCTTCTAACATTTAGAAATGAAATAGAAAATGACAGGAACCCTCTTGGTTATAGTGAAGAGTTACTATACTATACTGTAGTGAAGAGTTACATTACATAAGCAACTGAATACAGTCTTACTAAATCCACCTAGCACAGAGTCGGATTTAAGATACATGTGTTCCAGGCCAGGCAGTGAAGCCTTTAATCCCAGCACTCGGGAGGCAGAGGCAGGGGGATCTCTGTTTGTGTGAGGCCAGGAGTTCTAGGACAGCCAGGACTACACAGAGAAACCCTGTCTTGAAAAACAAAACACAACACAAACAATAAGGACAACAGCAACAAAAATATGCACGAGCTCTTGCATTCTTGACTACTTAAAACGAAAGAGGACTAGAGTGGCTGTGGGCTTCCAGGCCAAGGTCCAGTTCATTCATTCTGCATTCAAAATACCCACTGAGTGCCAATGCAGCCTTGATACGGCAGTGGGGGAAAGGGAGGCCACATCCCACTCACGACGCTAAGAATAGTTTTTCATTTGAGGTGTGTGTGTGTGAGGAGGCGGGGGTGTGGGTGTGGGTGTGTGTGTGTGCGTGCGTGCACACAGGTCTACACACCAGTTCTCATCTTCAGCTATGGTTGAAGCAGGGTCTCTCTTGTGCTGTGTATACTGGGCTAGCTGACCCATGAGCTTCTGGGCGATTCTCCCGTCTCCAGCTCCCACCTCACTGTAGAAGTGTGAGGGTTACATGTGTACATCGTTTCATGGAGCTTTTGACGTGGGTTCTCGGGATCAAACTCAGGGTGTCTGGCTTGTGTGGCAAACACTTTTACTCCCTGAGCCGGATCCGCAGGCTCCACCTAACACTTCTGATGTAAGCCGTAAACCAGTCAGTAGTTACATGCTACATCAGAAAGGGAGGGATGTCAAGGAGAAGATGTCTGTTAACAACTGCCGTTTCTTCTTGATGCTCTAGGTGACGAATTACAACAGCCACAGCTCTCAGCGCAATGGCTTTGTCCTTCCGGTGGCAGGGAGAGGTGCCGCGTCTGTCGCCCACAGAGGGGTAGGTTCCTGGGACCAGAGAACAAGCGGAAGTGAGAACCGTGTCCCAGCCGCCACCAGAGGCTAAGTGTACTCCAGGCCTTTGATTCTTGCACCTGATGGTTGTGTACAGATGCAAGGCATCCAGTATCCAAAATTAAAAATCAATTTCTAAAATTAAAAGTTAATGGGAGCTGGAGAGATGGTTCAGTGGTTAAGAGCTCTGACTGCTCTTCCAGAAGTGGAACCACAGGGTGGCTCAGCCATCTATGATGAGATCTGGCGCCCCCTTCTGGCCTGCAGGCATGCATGCAGGCAGAACACTATACATAATAAATAAATGAATGAATGAATAAATAAATAAATAGATGAATGAATATATATATTACGAGACAGGGTTTCTCTGTGTAGCTTTGGAGCCTGTCCTGGAACTCACTCTGTAGACCATGCTGGCCTCGGACTCACAGAGATTCACCTGCCTCTGCCTCCCCAGTGCTGGGATTAAAGGTGTGCACCACCACTGCCCAACTTAATAAATCTTAAAAAAAAAAAAAAATAAATCTTTAAGAAAAAGAGTTAATTAGTGGGCACACAGTAGGTATCGGAGGAGGCATATTTTCCTCCACAGAACTCAAGGCTCTATCCTGGGAACTTTCCCTTTAATCCTTTTTAGCCCCGTGGTTGGGACAGGGGTAGGAGCAAGGCACTGCACCCGGCCACCAGCTCTTTTCTTCCAGCCACAGACCAGTGACCTCCAGCTCGTCCGAGATGCTCTCCGCAGCCTGCGCAACAGCTTCAGTGGCCACGATCCTCAGCATCACACCATCGACAGCCTGGAGCAGGGAATCTCTAGCCTCATGGAGCGTCTGCACGTCATGGAGACACAGAAGAAACAGGAAAGGAAGGTAACACTGTGATTTCTTGCTTAGGCAAGCTCCGGGGGCAGCCTGGTCTGATGGGCCTTCCTTTATACGAAGGCAGCGCCAAATGACGACAACAACAATAATTATAATACAAGACCCCGCTGAGGGCTCCAGTCGCGCTTCCTTGGGGCTTCTGTCTCAGGGAGCTGACCGTTGGATGTGGTATGACAATCCAGGGAAGGACCGTGTGGTAACTTGTACTCAGCAGCTCTGTAGCTGTAAGGAACGGGGGTTCTTGGGTCCCTGGGATTCCTGCTACTTGTTCTCCTCTCCTCCCTCCAAGGGGAGCTGACTCTGGGTGAGCAAACACCTGGGGCGTGCACAGGAAACTAGAGAGCCTTCGTTAGCTGCGCATGCTATTAAGATAAATACGGCACGTTTCCTATGTTGTAGTAGGAGATGTCATTTTCGTTTCCTTTCCTGTTTTAAATTCTTGGGCAAATCCTTCCGTTGATAATAAATAACTCTTGACATCGTTACGACTCTCCAGGTTCGGGGCAGGTCACTCAGAACTCAAGCAAGCAGTGAATACCGGGCATCCTGGCCCCCTAATTCAAGTAAGTACGCATTACCACAAAGTGAAGGTGTCTAGACTGTTAGACTAGAAATTTGGTTCTCCTTCTCTCTCTCTCTCTCTCTCTCTCTCTCTCTCTGTTCTCTTTTGGTAGCATGCAGAGAGCCTTTCTGTACCACAGATACTAACTGGCCCATAGGGTGGAGGCCCCAGGTAGACGCCAGCTTGACTTCTCCACGTTCAGTGTGGATGTTGTCTGCAGCCATGAAGCCTTTCTGTCAGTTTGTGGGGCACCGTCTGTCGGCCTGGCAACAGCCGGGGTTGTCTGGGGATTCCCGTGGGGCCTCTTTGGCCAGCAACTCCGATGTAAACCAATCCTTGTACTGGAAGCTTCATTTGGTGACAAGAGATGTGTAGTTGGGGCTCTGTCTTCCCCATTATTGGGCAATTTCATTTAAATTACATTCATAAATGTATATATTTTAGAAAGTTTCTTCATACTTGGTTTCCATACCACTCCTCAAATGGCCCCAATTTTAGCTGCCTTTCCCCACATTTCCTCCTCTCCCCTCCTCCTCCTCCTCCCTTGATCCTTCCATTCCAGCTCCCCACATCCATCCATAACTATCGATTCTATTTCCCTTTCCTAAGGGGATCTATCTGCCCCTCCCCTCCAGGCCCTTACTCTGCTCCTGAGCTCTGTGGTTCTGTGTATTGTACCTTGGCTATCATTAACGTAACATCTAATATGCACATATAAGTGAATACACACCGTGTTTGTCTTACACACATGTCTTAGTTAGTGTTTCTATTGCTGTGACAAAACATCATGACCAAAAGGCAAGTTGGGGAGGAAAAGGTTTATTATTAGGCTTCCACTTCAGCAGTGCTGTTCATCACTGAAGGAAGTCAGGACAGGAACTCAAACAGGACAGGATCCCGGAGGCAGGAGCGGATGCAGAGGCCATGGAGAGGTGCTGCTTACTGGCTTGCTTTTTATGGCTTGCTCAGCCCGCCTTTTTATAGAACCCAGGACCAGCAGCCCAGGTATGGCACCACCCACCATGGGCTGGGCGCTCCCCCATTGATCACTAACTGAGAAAATGCCCGACAGCTGGATCTCAAGGAGGCATTTCCTCAGCTCAGGCTCCTTCCTCTGATGAGTCTAGCTTGTGTCAAGTTGACACACAAAACCACCCAGTACAGCACATATAAACAAGCAAGTACACACCATATTTGTCTTTCAGGGCCTGGGATACCTCACTCAGGATGATTTTTTTCTAGATCCATCTATTTACCTGTGAATTTCATGCTTTCCTTCTTTTTAATGGCTGGGTAATATTCCATTGTGTAAATGTACCATATTTTTTAAATCCATCCTTCTGTTGAGGAACATCTAGGTTGATTCCAGTTTTGCGCTATTATGAATAGAGAAGCAATGAATATGGTTGACCAGGTGTCTCTGTGGTAGGATGAAGTGTCCTTTTGGGTATATGCCCAAGAGTGGTATAGCTGGATCCTGAGATACATCTATTCCCATCTTCCTGAGGGACTGCCACACTGATTTCCACAGTGTCTGTTCAAGTCTGCCCTTCTACCAACAATGGATGAGTGTTCCCCGTACTCCACATCCTCACCAGCATGAGCTGTCGCTTGTTTTATTGATCTTGGCCATTCTGGTGGATGTAAGATGAAATCTCAAAGTAGTTTTGATTTGCATTTCCCTGATGGTTAAGGATGCTGAACATTTCTTTAAAGTGTTTCTCAACTGTTGTTTTTATCTAAGTTGTTCTATTACCAATAAAGACTCAGATATTGGGGTGAAAACCTGATAGATCAAAGAAGTGGAGGAGAAACCAGCTGACCTTCCTTTTTTTTTAAACTGGAGACCCAGCAAGCGCCTCTCTCTCCAGACGTCCCAGTTCAAAGAGACCACGAAATCCTTAAGTCTCTCCATACTCCTTCCTGTGTGTCTTCACCCGTGTTCTTGGCTTCTCTATGGCCAACTCTAGCTGTGCCCCCCGATTCAGGGTTAACTTTATCAACACAGTCTCAGGGTGTCACAGTGCAATCAAATATCCCACAACACTGAGCCGTTTAGTTTCCTCTTGAGAATTCTGTTTGGATTTGTACCCCATTTTTAATTGGGTTGTGTTCTTTATATATTTTGGATATTAGAGCCCTATCAGATGTGTAGTTGGTGAAAATCTCCTCCCATTTTGTAGGCTGCTGTTTTGTCCAAATGATGGTGTCCTTTGCCGCACAGAAGCGCTTCAGTTTCATGAGGTCCTGTTTATTAATTATTGATCTTAGTGCCTGCACTACTGGTGTTCTGTTTAGGAAGTCATCTTTTGTGCCAACGTGTTCAAGGCTATTCCCCTTTCTCTTCTGTCAGGTTCAATGTATCTAGTTTTATGTTGAGGTGTTTGACCCATTTGGAGTTGAGTTTTGTGCGGGGTGATAAGTATGAATTTGGATTCATCTACATGCAGACATCCAGTCTGACCTGCAGCATTTGTTGTAGATGCTGTTGTTGTTGTGGTTTTTTTTTTTTTTTAGTTTGTATTTCTGGCTTCTTTATCAAAAATTAGGTGTTCATAGGCATGTGGATTTATGTCTGGGTCTTTAATTTGATTCCATTGATCAGTGTATCTGTTTTTGTGCCAATCAGGAATTTTGTTATTTTCATACTTCCAGTTTCTGGGTAGATTTTTTTTTTCAGTGCTTCGTTTTTATGATTTTTTTTCTGAGCAAACAAGAGTCATATTATCCCTAGGATTATGAGGACTCATGACGTCACCACCATCAGCCATATGGAGAATGCTGCTGACGTGGGCTGAAATGTCTGGAAACTATGCAGAATTAAAAACATTCATGCTGAATAAACCATAAAGCAAAAAACATATATCTAGATCACTCTGGTTTCAGATCACACACACACACACACACACACTTTTTTAGGAGCAGGGAGTTCAATTTCTTTGAATTTCTTCAATTTTCTAAGAGTCCAAGTCATTCATTTAAGGCCTGCTAAATATTTGCACCACCTAGTGGCCATCCTTAGGAAGTGTGTTTGAACCAGCTCCCACGCCCTCATCCATTTTCCTCTGGTTGGTTCAACTTGTTGGGGCTGCTCCACCTGGACATTCTCACTGTAGTAGACATTTTGAGTCTTGGTTCAGTAATGTTTGAATTCTCTCATTTTTTCTTTTACCCGAGCCCAATTTTAAAGCATCCAAACAAGTTATATGAAGATCAAATAGCTGACTAGTACCAACTTGTGTATGTGTGTGTGTGCAATTTATTTTTCCTTTTCCCCCATGTGTGTAAGTGTTTTGCCTGCATATACAGCTGTGCACCACTTGGGTGAGTGTTACCTGTGGAGGCCAAGAGAGGGCATTAGTTCCCCTGGTTACATTCGTGAGCCACCTTGTGGGTGGTGGGAATTGGACCTAGGTCCTCTAGAAGAGCAGCCAGTGCTCTTAACTGTAGAGTTATTTCTCCATTGCATGTGTACAGTTTCTAAAACCATACAAAAACTGGGCACGCTAGCACATGCCTATCATCCTGGCACTTGGGACCTTGAAGCAGAAGGCTATAAATTTGAGACCCTCCATAGTGAGACTCTGTCTTAAAACAAGAGCAAAATTCCAAAACGAAACAAAAAGACCAGACCAACTGAACCAAAAGTTAAGTGTATTTCAGAAGACTCTTGGGGAGAAGATTCTGAAGTTAATTTTGGGACTAAAGTCATCGGTTTCTCTCCCAGCATCAGCATCATCTCACTCAAGGAAATGTTACAATCAGAAATTTGGGAACAGTTTGCTCTTCAAAAACTTGCATATTTCATACTTGGGCAAATATCTTAAGGGTTTTGCTCTGTGGTCTGTTTTTTTTTCTATTTAAATGTGTTTTGCTTTTTTGAGACAGAGTCTTTCTGTAAACCAGGCTAACTTCAAACTATCTAGCCGGGAATGACCTTGAACTCCTACTCCTCCCCCTTCACCTCCCAGGTGATAAGATTACTGGTATGTATGTAGACCAGTGGTTCTCAACCTTCCTAAGGCTGTGACCCTTTAACACAGTTCCTCATGTTGTGGTGACCACCAACCATAAAATTATTTTCATTGCTACTTCATAACTGTAATTTTGCTACTGTTGTGAATCATAATGCAAACACCTGATATACAGATGGTCGTAGGCAACCCCTGTGGAAGGGTCTTTCAACCCCCAAAGGGGTCATGACCCATAGGTTGAGAACAACTGGTGTAGACCTATGTAGACCAGACTGACCTCAAACTCAAAGAGCTCTTGCTGCCTCTGGCTTTTAAATGCTGGGGTTAAAGTCATGCACCACCATGCTTTGTTAGGATTTGAATTTGATTGTTATCCCCTCTGATACCTTTTCAAGGTTGGTATGAACTGCCAATGTAGAAGTTCTTGGATATTCTTTTTAAAATAATAAACTGGGCTGGAGAGATGGCTCATTGGTTAAGAGTACCGACTGCTCTTCCAGAGGTCCTGAGTTCAATTCCCAGCAACCAAATGGTGGCTCATAACCACTTGTAATGAGATCTGGTGCCCTCTTCTGTCTTTCAGGGACACATGCAGGCAAAATATTGTATACATAATAAATAAATCTTTAAAAAAAAATAATAAACTCCATCCTCTACCGATTCTTTCATTAACATATAGTATTATTTAAACTACTAGACTTAGCTCACTTAAATGTTAACCAGAACTTCCAGTGACATCCATTTTCACAAACAGGCCAGCATGTCCCCGTCTCATCAGATCGAGAAACCTGTGTCACTATGGAAGCCCTTTAACTACAGACTTCTTTTAATCCCCTACACCAGACTTCTGAACAGGTCATACTTACTCTCTTTCATTTTCTTAAAAAAGTGCTTAACCTTTCTCTATCTACAGTGTGTGTTTGTGAGCCCACGTGCCACAGTCCACATGTAGAGCCTTGAGGACAACTTGCAGGAGTCACTTCCCTTCTGCTCTCTGGGTTCCAGCAACCGAACTCAGCTTTGCAGC